AGGGTTTAGGGTTTAGGCTCAAGGCCTTCATGTAGCGCCCCCTTGGCTCCCCGCTTGTGGCGGTTCCTTCCAGGTTCAAGTGACGCCATATGCCCGACCGCCTAGAAGCAGTCCTATCACCAACGCTCTAGATTCCCAACCCTTCCCTTACCCTAAGCCCTGAACACTCAGCCCTAACCCGAAATGCCGGACCCCTGACGAGCATAAGCCTTAACCTATAGCTGAACCGTCGAACAGACTTTTGCTCCTGAGAGCACCAAGAATGCTTCTATGAACCCCGTCCTCAGCCATGACAGGCCTTCACCCTAGCCTAAGCTACTCATCCCAAACCATCCAAAATTCAAAGATCGTAACTCCCTCAAGCGCTCCATTCCGGAATCCTGACCGCAAAGGATGCCATCAGCTACAACGCGGCGATCAGCGCGTGCGGCCGAGCGGGCGAGTGGCAGTCGGCTCTGCTTCTGCTCGAGGACGACGAGAGTTGGTCTCGGTGCGATGCTTCTGGTTTTAGGGTTGTGAGTTCAGGCCCTGAACTTCAGGGTTCTGGTTTTAGGGTTTCAGGGTTTGGGGTTCAGCAGGCTTGCAGGTTCAGGGCTTTTAGGGTCTTGGGTTAGAGGAATGCTGCCAAACGTCTATTCGTGTTATATTTCACTTACAAACCCTAGCCCATTGCTCCTCACAGGGCTCTTCCACAGGAACGTGAGTCAACTAATGAAGGAAGTACATTCAAAGGTACTACCTGGACCTCGAAAGTATGTAGAACAATAGTTAGCCCTCTATGAGGCGTTGTGCCATTGTTTGACCTGCTTCTTGTGGGGATTCGGTACACAGCACGAGTTAGATGGCGCTTGGGAAGCATGTATCCCACTGAACGTGTTCATCAAGAAAGATTGACGACAGAACCCGCGCCTCAACCCTACCTGTTGAAAGTGTTGTCACCGGCAGCGGGTTGTACGTCATGCACAGCACTTGTGTCGTTGTGTCAGGAGCTTGAATTTGCTAACTGCCAGCCGGATGTCATCTCCTACAACGCTGCCATCAGCGCTTGTGAGAAATTTGTCTGCTGATGGACGATGGACTGGTCTGATTTCGCCGCTGATGGTTTGAGATTTCCACGGCTGGGGCTTGCTCTGAGCGGGACTTGTTGTGGCTGCCTACGTTTGGTTTTTGTTTTACCGTAAGGCCGGGAAAGTTCAATCAGCAGCCCCAAGACGGAGAAGTTCCGAAGCTCAATCAAATTGAAGCTCTTTGAGACTAACCGAATTCTTCATCGCAAACAATACTGCTGCTTGTTCGCCATCCCTCAACCGTCGACTCCTAACCCTTTAAGCTCCAACAACCAAGGCAGCGCCCTAAAAGCCATCACACAAGAACAAGCCGAGGAAGGGCCACCATTGGCCTTCTGCATTGAGTCTCTTCTCAGAGATGGGTGCGCAGCAACTCCAAAGGAGCATCGTGACGTTCCCAGGTGATTGTAAATAGACTCTTTTGGCTTCTGGGGCCTGGGGTTTACGCCTAGAAGGGGTCATGCTTCAATAGTTTACGTGTACGTTGTTGCTCCCGTGTTAGTTGATCAGAAGTTGTGGTTGTGGGCAAAGGGAATTAGCATGATTTTCTGACTGCTACTGAGCAGTTGCTTAGCTTCGATTTTAAGCCACACGGCTCATCACAACGTTCAAATGTCAAAGAGTGACGGTCGTCCGTAGCATGTTTACGTGCATGCCAAGTCGTAATGAACTGCGACTGCACTTGGGCACGGTGTAGCCTAGAAGTTGGAAGATGCTCTGCTGACTGTATGCCCCAAGGTCTGCAGCCTAGACCCTCAGAGCTCGACCGGAAGATTCCGAAGCAGTCTACCTGATACCGAGACCCCTCTAACTTCTCGCCTTGTTCATGGATGCATGTAGACCTTGGGGTGAGTCTTGTTTGTGCTAAGGCACTACCAATTGACCCGCGGGTTTTGCTTGTCTTAGCTTGTTTTGGTCTGTTTCTGGG